AGCTCAACATTCTGAACATTTTTTACCTGTCAGGTTTTCTCTATTCATAACGGTTTTCAAAATAATAGACAAAACTTGAATTTTACCCCTATGTTCTATTTTTAGCTTTGTCGGCCATCTCGGTTGGCAGGCGAGGTCATCGGACACTTTTTTTAAACTAGATATCCCAATGATGATTGTGGTCAAGTTTGGTTAAATTTGGCCATGTAGTTTCAGAGGAGAAGATTTTTGTAACAGTTAACAGACGATGACGGATGCCAATTGATTGGAAAATTAAGCTGCTAAAAATGGGTACAAATTTGTCTTCTAAGGGCATTAATGAATCCTATAAGGATTCGATTGACGTTTTTTTGTTTTTTATGTTTTAATCTATTTTAAGATCACGTTTTGCTCATCATTTTTAATTTCTCTTTTTCTATCATAGTTTTCCAGATACAAGCTAAACCTCTTAAAGGTTAAAAGTCATCATTTAAAAGCAATACCGTCTATAAAAGTGAGGAGGAATCAAAGTATGAAATAAAGGATAAAACTGCAGTTATTTTTCATGTTTATAGATCTTAATATCTGGCTTATAATAATGTGTCTCTATCTTACTTTTTATTGAAATTGCAGAAACGCTGATATCAATTAAAGATAGGCGAAAGGTACCGAAGGGGCATTCAAACTCATAAACAGTTAACACTGAGTCCAAAGAGAAGTCGCTTAATAGTTTTCCCTGGAAAAAAGTGCATTAATATTAACATTTCGAATATTTTTGTCCCTCAAATGTTTATTTCTCTATCTATTAAAATTTCAAGATAACACACAATTACGTTCCATTTACAGTTTACTCCATATTTATCAATTATAGACTTTTGACGAGGTCGATACGTAATATATGGACCTGTTCAGATTATATTGACCGAGGACTGAGTGAAAGTCCTTAATTTATATATTACATATGTAAATAATGTATTAGAATATTGGAATTCAATCAGTGTTCTTCTGTGTATTTTTAAATTTTATTTTTCAAGTTTAATATACTATTGAAAATATTAATAAATAAGATTAACTTGTTTTATTGTAAACAAAAATACAACATTTTTTTTCTGTTTAGAACAAATAAGAATTCAAATGGAACTCATTTCAGTCTACTTGCAAATTTTCTTTTCGTACTCTGCGGCGCTTCCGCCATGATTGTTTTGTGTGACGTCACAGATTTTTAATATTGACCGTCAATATACGTATAAAATTGTTTTATAAAAAGACCATAAACCCACTTATTCATGGTATGGTATCAATATTTCTGACCTGACACTACGTACTTTTTATTGCTTAATTCTTTAGAATTTAATATGCAATGTTTCGGGTTCTTTCGGGAGTATTCCCAGGTAAACCCTCATCAGAGGCCGACCTTTAGCTATTTATTTCGTATCTAGTATCATAGATAGATGTGTGTCTGTTTCATAACAGTTTTTTTTATTTAATTTATTAACTACACGTGCATATAGGTCTACGTTGTAGCTAGTCTTTTTACAGACTAAAGAAACTGACCAAGTAGATCAGCACCTTTGGTTAATTATTCATATATATAATGAAAAGACTTATTGTCTTTATTCTCGTAATCTAATCTATCATAAATCTACACGAGATCTAATAGTTAGTAGTTATCAGTGCTATACTGTTGAATTCACACTAGACTGCCGTGTATGTTTTAACACCTATTTGATAATATACCAATGTCTCCATGTTTAACAATTGAAGAGGTTTGTGTAGATACCATGTCGGGTCTATGCATGAATATAACAGGAACCATTCTGTTTTCCCTTGTACGTGATCTCTTGAAATAAATCGGCATCACGTCTTTTTACATCTGTTTCACAGTATAATGATTGTATACTAAAGCCTCCCGTGGTGGGGTATTGTGAATCAATGTCTTCGGCTTAATGATTAATTATCATGTTGCCAATATTCTTATTGTTTTTTAAACCAATATATGGTTTGGATTTAGATAGTTTGTTTTTTTTTTTTTTTTTTTTTTTTTTGGCAATCGGATCTTTCCGAATTATATACCAAATTTTGTTATTACCGTGTTAAGATATTCAAGATATTTCTGCCACTTGTTTTCTAATATTTTGTTTCTTTCGAAGTTGCTGTCTGCATCTATGCTAACTCAGCCTAACTGTATTTGTTAGGGAGGAATACGCAAGACATTTACACTTTAGACCGTATATATACGTTTATCTTATAAGTACATGTTGCTATTGATTCTAAGAATTCTCGTACCTTCAGAAGGAATGAAAACAATGTACTATTTCAAATAATTGTTCACTTTGTTCACCTTCTTCATTAAATATATTAAATCCATCAATTCTCATTCTTTAGTGGAATTTAATATTATTTTCGTAGGGTATTTCTCTGTTTTATGTCTATAATTATGGTTAAATATAGCAATATCAGATATTTCCAGGGAGGCAACTCTGCCCATTGAAACGCCAACGATCTGTTGCTAGTATAATAGTATTACTTTCGTTGTTCATTGACAATCATATTTATTTGTTATTAGTTTCCATGTAACCTTCAACGGCTTGACATAATAATTATTATCGATATTAGTTGCTTAACGTCCTGTTGCCAATATTTCATGTATGTTTAGGACTGTGATATAGTGATGACATAAGGTTGTTTGCTAGTATAATAGTATAACTTCCATAGTTCGTTGACAATCATATTAGTTATAGTTAGTTTTCATGCTACCTTCTAAGGTTTGACATGATACAGCGATAAATTAACGATTTTTGGTTGCTTAGCATCCAGTGACAAATATTTCATGTATGTTAAGGAATATGATATAGTGATGACATAAGGTTGTTTGCTAGTATAATAGTATAACTTCCATAGTTCATTGACAATCATATTAATTTGTAGTTAGTTTCCATGCTACCTTGTAAGGTTTGACATGATATAGCGATAAATTAAAGATTTTTAGCTGCTAAGCATCCAGTGGCAAATATTTCATGTATGTTTAGAAATATGATACATATAGTGGTGGAACAAGGTTGTTTGCTAGTATAATAGTATAACTTCCATAGTTCATTGACAATCATATTAGTTTGTAGTTAGTTTTCATGCTACCTTCTAGGGTTTGACATGATACAGCGATGAATTGAAGATTTGTTGGTTGCTTAGCATCCAGTGGCAAATATTCCATGTATGTTTAGGACTATGATATAGTGATGACATAAGGTTGTTTGCTAGTATAATAGTATAACTTCCATAGTTCATTGACAATCATATTAGTTTGTAGTTAGTTTCCATGCTACCTTCTGAGGTTTGACATGATTCAGCGATGAATTAAAGATTTGTTGGTTGCTTAGCATCCAGTGGCAAATATTTCATGTATGTTTAGAACTATGATACATATAGTGGTGAAACAAGGTTGTTTGCTAGTATAATAGTATAACTTCCATAGTTCATTGACAATCCATGCTACCTTCTAAGGTTTGACACGATACAGCGATGAATTATTGATTGTGGTTACTTAAAGTCCAGTGACAAATATTTCATGTATGTTTTAGACGATGATATATATAGTGATAACATAAGGTTGTTTGCTAGTATAATAGTATAACTTCCCTTAGCTAGTTCATTTACAATCATATCAGTTTGTAATTATTTTCCATGTTACCTTCTTAGGTTTAACATAGTGATGTATTATTGATTGTTGATTGCTATACGTCCAATTGCAATTATTTCAAGTATGTTTAAGGACTATGTTGACATAAGGTTGTTTGCTAGTATAATAGTATAACTTCCATGTTTCAGTCAAATATGATTCGGTATCATTTTCCAATATATATATATATATATATATATCAGTGTCTTGTATGTTATATGCATACATTTTGTTTCTGTATTATTTTATTTTATTTTTATTCATTACTTTATTGTTTCAGGTATATCTTTGTTTCATATGTAAATAGTGATAGCTATGTAGTAGATCTATGTTATTTACATAATTAGTTACATGTATATTTTATAAGATGTACAGTGTTATATACATAAAGAAAGATGTACAGTATTATATACATATAGAATTGTATAATATTACATTGTGCATATAGTATAGTGTCGTACGTAGTTTCTCGATCAGAAATACGTCGTACCATAGCATAAATAAGGCTCAAAAATTCTATAATTAAATAGAACCTGATTCAACGGGTGAGATCACAACTAGTGAAATATTCACCGTATCAAATTGTTTTATAAAAAGACCATAAACCCACTTATTCATGGTATGGTATCAATATTTCTGACCTGACACTACGTACTTTTTATTGCTTAATTCTTTAGAATTTAATATGCAATGTTTCGGGTTCTTTCGGGAGTATTCCCAGGTAAACCCTCATCAGAGGCCGACCTTTAGCTATTTATTTCGTATCTAGTATCATAGATAGATGTGTGTCTGTTTCATAACAGTTTTTTTTATTTAATTTATTAACTACACGTGCATATAGGTCTACGTTGTAGCTAGTCTTTTTACAGACTAAAGAAACTGACCAAGTAGATCAGCACCTTTGGTTAATTATTCATATATATAATGAAAAGACTTATTGTCTTTATTCTCGTAATCTAATCTATCATAAATCTACACGAGATCTAATAGTTAGTAGTTATCAGTGCTATACTGTTGAATTCACACTAGACTGCCGTGTATGTTTTAACACCTATTTGATAATATACCAATGTCTCCATGTTTAACAATTGAAGAGGTTTGTGTAGATACCATGTCGGGTCTATGCATGAATATAACAGGAACCATTCTGTTTTCCCTTGTACGTGATCTCTTGAAATAAATCGGCATCACGTCTTTTTACATCTGTTTCACAGTATAATGATTGTATACTAAAGCCTCCCGTGGTGGGGTATTGTGAATCAATGTCTTCGGCTTAATGATTAATTATCATGTTGCCAATATTCTTATTGTTTTTTAAACCAATATATGGTTTGGATTTAGATAGTTTGTTTTTTTTTGTTTTTTTTTTTTTTTGGCAATCGGATCTTTCCGAATTATATACCAAATTTTGTTATTACCGTGTTAAGATATTCAAGATATTTCTGCCACTTGTTTTCTAATATTTTGTTTCTTTCGAAGTTGCTGTCTGCATCTATGCTAACTCAGCCTAACTGTATTTGTTAGGGAGGAATACGCAAGACATTTACACTTTAGACCGTATATATACGTTTATCTTATAAGTACATGTTGCTATTGATTCTAAGAATTCTCGTACCTTCAGAAGGAATGAAAACAATGTACTATTTCAAATAATTGTTCACTTTGTTCACCTTCTTCATTAAATATATTAAATCCATCAATTCTCATTCTTTAGTGGAATTTAATATTATTTTCGTAGGGTATTTCTCTGTTTTATGTCTATAATTATGGTTAAATATAGCAATATCAGATATTTCCAGGGAGGCAACTCTGCCCATTGAAACGCCAACGATCTGTTGCTAGTATAATAGTATTACTTTCGTTGTTCATTGACAATCATATTTATTTGTTATTAGTTTCCATGTAACCTTCAACGGCTTGACATAATAATTATTATCGATATTAGTTGCTTAACGTCCTGTTGCCAATATTTCATGTATGTTTAGGACTGTGATATAGTGATGACATAAGGTTGTTTGCTAGTATAATAGTATAACTTCCATAGTTCGTTGACAATCATATTAGTTATAGTTAGTTTTCATGCTACCTTCTAAGGTTTGACATGATACAGCGATAAATTAACGATTTTTGGTTGCTTAGCATCCAGTGACAAATATTTCATGTATGTTAAGGAATATGATATAGTGATGACATAAGGTTGTTTGCTAGTATAATAGTATCACTTCCATAGTTCATTGACAATCATATTAATTTGTAGTTAGTTTCCATGCTACCTTGTAAGGTTTGACATGATATAGCGATAAATTAAAGATTTTTAGCTGCTAAGCATCCAGTGGCAAATATTTCATGTATGTTTAGGACTATGATATAGTGATGACATACGGTTGTTTGCTAATATAATAGTACAACTTCCATAGTTCATTGACAATCATATTAGTTTGTAGTAAGTTTCCATGCTACCTTCTAAGGTTTGGCATGATACAGCGATAGATTAAAGATTGTTGGTTGCTTAGTCTCCAGTGGCAAATATTTCATGTATGTTTAGGACTATGATATAGTGATGACATAAGGTTGTTTGCTAGTATAATAGTATAACTTCCATAGTTCATTGACAATCATATTAGTTTGTAGTTAGTTTCCATGCTACCTTCTAAGGTTTGACACGATACAGCGATGAATTATTGATTGTGGTTACTTAAAGTCCAGTGACAAATATTTCATGTATGTTTTAGACGATGATATATATAGTGATAACATAAGGTTGTTTGCTAGTATAATAGTATAACTTCCATAGTTCATTGACAATCATATTAGTTTGTAGTTAGTTTTCATGATACCTTCTAAGGTTTGACATGATACAGCATCCAGTGGCAAATATACCCTGTATGTTTAGGACTATGATATAGTGATGACATAAGGTTGCTTGCTAGTATAATAGTATAACTTCCATAGTTCATTGACAATCATATTAGTTTGTAGTTAGTTTCCATGCTACCTTCTAAGGTTTGACATGATATAGCGATAAATTAACGATTGTTTGTTGCTTAGCATCCAGTGGCAAATATTTCATGTATGTTTAGGACTATGATATAGTGATGACATAAGGTTGTTTGCTAGTATAATAGTATAACTTCCATAGATCATTGACAATCATATTAGTTTGTAGTTAGTTTTCATGATACCTTCTAAGGTTTGACATGATACAGCGATAAATTAAAGTTTGTTGGTTGCTTAGCATCCAGTGGCAAATATTTCATGTACGTTTAGAACTATGATACATATAGTGATGAAACAAGGATGTTTGCTAGTATAATAGTATAACTTCCATAGTTCATTGACAATCATATTAGTTTGTAGTTAATTTTCATGCTACCTTCTAAGGTTTGACATGAAATAGTGATGAATTGAAGATTTGTTGGTTGCTTAGCATCCAGTGGCAAATATTTCATGTATGTTTAGAAATATGATACATATAGTGGTGGAACAAGGTTGTTTGCTAGTATAATAGTATAACTTCCATAGTTCATTGACAATCATATTATTGTAATTAGTTTCCATGCTACCTTCTAAGGTTTGACATGAAACATCGATGAACTAAAGATTTGTTGGTTGCTTAGCATCCAGTGGCAAATATTTCACGTATGTTTAGGACTATGATATAGTGATGACATAAGGTTGTTTGCTAGTATAAAAGTATAACTTCCATAGTTCATTGACAATCATATTAGTTTGTAGTTAGTTTCCATGCTACCTTCAGAGGTTTGACATGATTCAGCGATGAATTAAAGATTTGTTGGTTGCTTAGCATCCAGTGGCAAATATTTCATGTATGTTTAGAACTATGATACATATAGTGGTGGAACAAGGTTGTTTGCTAGTATAATAGTATAACTTCCATAGTTCATTGACAATCATATTAGTTTGTAGTTAGTTTTCATGCTCCCTTCTAGGGTTTGACATGATACAGCGATGAATTGAAGATTTGTTGGTTGCTTAGCATCCAGTGGCAAATATTTCATGTATGTTTAGGACTATGATATAGTGATGACATAAGGTTGTTTGCTAGTATAATAGTATAACTTCCATAGTTCATTGACAATCATATTAGTTTGTAGTTAGTTTCCATGCTACCTTCTGAGGTTTGACATGATTCAGCGATGAATTAAAGATTTGTTGGTTGCTTAGCATCCAGTGGCAAATATTTCATGTATGTTTAGAACTATGATACATATAGTGGTGGAACAAGGTTGTTTGCTAGTATAATAGTATAACTTCCATAGTTCATTGACAATCATATTAGTTTGTAGTTAGTTTTCATGCTCCCTTCTAGGGTTTGACATGATACAGCGATGAATTGAAGATTTGTTGGTTGCTTAGCATCCAGTGGCAAATATTTCATGTATGTTTAGGACTATGATATAGTGATGACATAAGGTTGTTTGCTAGTATAATAGTATAACTTCCATAGTTCATTGACAATCATATTAGTTTGTAGTTAGTTTCCATGCTACCTTCTGAGGTTTGACATGATTCAGCGATGAATTAAAGATTTGTTGGTTGCTTAGCATCCAGTGGCAAATATTTCATGTATGTTTAGAACTATGATACATATAGTGGTGAAACAAGGTTGTTTGCTAGTATAATAGTATAACTTCCATAGTTCATTGACAATCCATGCTACCTTCTAAGGTTTGACACGATACAGCGATGAATTATTGATTGTGGTTACTTAAAGTCCAGTGACAAATATATCATGTATGTTTTAGACGATGATATATATAGTGATAACATAAGGTTGTTTGCTAGTATAATAGTATAACTTCCCTTAGCTAGTTCATTTACAATCATATCAGTTTGTAATTATTTTCCATGTTACCTTCTTAGGTTTAACATAGTGATGAATTATTGATTGTTGATTGCTATACGTCCAATTGCAATTATTTCAAGTATGTTTAAGGACTATGTTGACATAAGGTTGTTTGCTAGTATAATAGTATAACTTCCATGTTTCAGTCAAATATGATTCGGTATCATTTTCCAATATATATATATATATATATATATATATATCAGTGTCTTGTATGTTATATGCATACATTTTGTTTCTGTATTATTTTATTTTATTTTTATTCATTACTTTATTGTTTCAGGTATATCTTTGTTTCATATGTAAATAGTGATAGCTATATAGTAGATCTATGTTATTTACATAATTAGTTACATGTATATTTTATAAGATGTACAGTGTTATATACATAAAGAAAGATGTACAGTATTATATACATATAGAATTGTATACTATTACATTGTGCATATAGTATAGTGTCGTACGTAGTTTCTCGATCAGAAATACGTCGTACCATAGCATAAATAAGGATCAAAAATTCTATAATTAAATAGAACCTGATTCAACGGGTGAGATCACAACTAGTGAAATATTCACCGTATCAAATTGTTTTATAAAAAGACCATAAACCCACTTATTCATGGTATGGTATCAATATTTCTGACCTGACACTACGTACTTTTTATTGCTTAATTCTTTAGAATTTAATATGCAATGTTTCGGGTTCTTTCGGGAGTATTCCCAGGTAAACCCTCATCAGAGGCCGACCTTTAGCTATTTATTTCGTATCTAGTATCATAGATAGATGTGTGTCTGTTTCATAACAGTTTTTTTTATTTAATTTATTAACTACACGTGCATATAGGTCTACGTTGTAGCTAGTCTTTTTACAGACTAAAGAAACTGACCAAGTAGATCAGCACCTTTGGTTAATTATTCATATATATAATGAAAAGACTTATTGTCTTTATTCTCGTAATCTAATCTATCATAAATCTACACGAGATCTAATAGTTAGTAGTTATCAGTGCTATACTGTTGAATTCACACTAGACTGCCGTGTATGTTTTAACACCTATTTGATAATATACCAATGTCTCCATGTTTAACAATTGAAGAGGTTTGTGTAGATACCATGTCGGGTCTATGCATGAATATAACAGGAACCATTCTGTTTTCCCTTGTACGTGATCTCTTGAAATAAATCGGCATCACGTCTGTTTACATCTGTTTCACAGTATAATGATTGTATACTAAAGCCTCCCGTGGTGGGGTATTGTGAATCAATGTCTTCGGCTTAATGATTAATTATCATGTTGCCAATATTCTTATTGTTTTTTAAACCAATATATGGTTTGGATTTAGATAGTTTGTTTTTTTTTTTTTTTTTTTTTTTTGGCAATCGGATCTTTCCGAATTATATACCAAATTTTGTTATTACCGTGTTAAGATATTCAAGATATTTCTGCCACTTGTTTTCTAATATTTGGTTTCTTTCGAAGTTGCTGTCTGCATCTATGCTAACTCAGCCTAACTGTATTTGTTAGGGAGGAATCCGCAAGACATTTACACTTTAGACCGTATTTATACGTTTATCTTATAAGTACATGTTGCTATTGATTCTAAGAATTCTCGTACCTTCAGAAGGAATGAAA